TGGTCGCTGTTGATTATCGGGCGGATTGGACTGAACGATACAACTGGTCTTATGTTTGGCTAAAGACACAAATTAACCAAGATGCTCAGGTTGAAAAGGAAATATTCGAATCTGCAAAGAAATGGGTAATTGAGAGATACCAAGTTGACAAAGAGGTTATAGTCGCTGACGACAGCTTTGTAAAGGAACAAGAGAATAAAACCAAGATTATTGAAGCAGAGAACGAAAAGAAGATAAAAGAAGGTACATTCTTTTGAAATACTACTGATTTTGTTTATATCTTTGACAAAATATACTGATTTTCGAAAAAAAATTGTTATTTTGACACCCAACAGGCGCTGTAATTACCATGACTCGTCGTCTTATTACTCTCAGCTATGTCAAGAAATATATTTCGTTCCAGAAACATGATGGAAAGTTCATCTTGGACGCCGAATTTGTTAGACTACTCGGCTTTGAATCTTCCAAAGACTTTGAACAAGTAATTAACGTCTACATCAAATCGAAACGCGTATCTAAATTGGACATCCACGTCATTTCCACTGCCGTTTCTCTCTGGTATTTGCGCTTGGTTGCCATTGATCATCGTACTGAGTGGCAGTCTAGCTACGAAAAATCATCTAAATGGTTATCGTCGACCATCAACAATACGGCGGTTGAGCAAGAACTACACGAATACGCCAGGAACTTTGTCATTGAGAAATACCAAGTCGATAAAACTACTATTAAAATTGACGAAACCTACTACAGCGGTAAGCATTCTATTGGAGTATTCGACTCTATATTTCGATATTTATTAACGAAATGCGTGTGTTTATTGCAGTGAAAACAAAGGGTGTGACTTCTTCCACTGCCAGCACAAAGGTTTCCGTTACAGAGGCCAAGACTACCAAGAAGACTATTACTACTATCACCAGAAAGACTATTACCAAGAATTATGTTGTTCGTACGTTCAAACATCAGTTAAAGACTGGCGCTTTCCAAATAAACGACGAACTTGCTGTATCAATTGGGTTCAGCAGTGAGAAACAATTACGAACTGAGCTAACGGCGTATATCAAGAAACATGGCAAAAGCGATACCTCGCGTCTCGACACAACTACTTGGGTCACTATTTTGCTGCTACATTATTATCGTCTAGTTGCTATTGATCATCAAACAGAATGGCAAGCTCAATACGAAATTTCATATCGGTGGTTATGGAGCCAATTTAAATGCAAGGAGTCTGTTGAAAAAGAGGCATTTGCTCTTATCAGATCCTTCGTAACGGAATACTACGAAGTCGATGAACAAACCCACAAAGAAGATGTTCAATTCGTTGGTAAATTTGAAGAGAAAAGAAAAGCGATTAGGGAAACACTTGTCATATATAGTGGTAAATCCACTGCTGGTAAGCTATAATTGTATTGATTTTTCTAGAGTTTATTAATTGCTGCTGACAATACGATGATTTTCTGTAGCTGCTCCAAAATTAATTGGTCTTGTGCGTTTCCACGTTGTTGATGCGAAGAACCTTCCAAAAGCCGATTCTTGGTTTGGAGGTGGCGCTTCAGATCCTTATGTTAAGATCACTAACCTGGAGTCCGGTTGGGAATATGCTGAAACCAAGACTATTTACAATACTACTACCCCAAGATGGAATCAAATCTTCTATATACCTGTTTACGACAAGCAAGAAAAATTCAAATTTGCAGTCAATGACTATAACGCATTCTTCAAAGATGTTCCCCTAGGTTCATACACGTTTGACTTGAAGGAAATCATCAAAGTAAAATTCAATGGAAGTCTTGAAGGGAAAAAATTTGATAAGGAAGTCAATCTTCAACTCCGGAAATCAGTGAAAGGCCATCTCCACCTTATTGCCGAATTTTTCCCTGCTGACGTACTTGAAGGCAAAGACACCAAACGAATTGACGCCAAGACCGTTTCTATCCGCCATATTCATCTCCTCATCGCACTTCAACGTGCAAACGGAAGCTTTGAGTCTGACCAACGTATTGCCAAGCTTTTCAACTATTCATCGATTGAAGAGCTTATCCTGTCGTTCCATTCCAGCACTTCTGATGAACGACTTAAAAAACTCGACAAGTCTATCGTCGTTTCGGTCTTTATCACATCATTCCTCAGGGCTCTCTTATGGAAGCACAAAAGTGAATGGATATCATCGTACACAAAAACGGAAACATGGATTAGTGAATCAATTAATGATGTAGAAATTGAAGAGAGTCTATACGCAGAAGTGAATCGCTACGTTATCAAACATTACAACGTCACAGAATGGGAAAGCGAAGAACACAAGCAAAGCCTTGGAGTTGTTGAGAAGAAGACAATCATTACTCGACGCACTATCACAGTCCGAGTCATTCGTCGTATTATTTCTTATCAAAGCGAAACAGGTTCATACAAGCTCGATGCCCATCTTGCTGAATCTCTTGGGTTCGAGTCAACAGAAATAGCGCAAAAAGAACTGCAGACCCACTTCTCATCCTATTCCAAAGTCGCCAAACTCGATGTCCATATCTACAGTACGGCAATTCTTCTCTGGTACTTCCGATATACCATGGTCGATCACAGAGACAAATGGGCAATTACATACAAGAAGTCGTCCGCCTGGTTAAGTGCACAAATTAACAACAAAGAAGTTGAAAAAGAGCTTCTCGAAGCGGCAAGAATATTTGTTGTCAAACGTTATCAAGTCGATGAAGAAACTCTCCGACTGGACGAATCTTTCAAGAGTTCACTTACAATTACCGAAGATACTGTCTCTGAAGAAGTTAAGAAGGAACTTGAAAAAGTTACAGAAGAAGAAGCTATTACGGTAGAAGTTTCTGAGAGACAAGCCATTGGAATTCTCAAAATAAAAATTGATCGTGCAAAGGGGCTCCAAAGCGGTGGTTGGCTCCAATCGAATGATCCATATGTTATCGTTTTTGACGCCACTGCCAAGGAAGTCGCTCGAACGAAAATGGTGCCATCGACGAACGATCCAGTCTGGGAAGAAGTGCATTATATTTCAGTTTATGGACCAAACGATAAGATCACCTTGAAGATCTTTGACGAAAATCTCTTTGTGTCAGATACTTACCTCGGTTTCTACGTGTTAAATGCCGGTGAATTAATCGTTAAGAGTAAGAAGGGGAAATACGAGAGCGGAAAAGAACTCGACAAATGGGAAAAAGTTAACCGTGCTGACGGTAAAGGCACCAAAGGCGAAATTCACATTGCAGCTCAATTTTTCCCAACCACTTTGGAACTTGCCGATAGCTTCATTTTCAGCAAGGATAACACAGATATTCGTTATCTTTACGCGCTCATTTCATGGAAATTCCCTAACGGCTCTTTTGAATTTACGGACAACTTGGCTCGCTTCTTTAATTTCAAATCTCAACGGGAATTAATTGAAAGCTTTGGGAAACATGTTGAGAGTGATAAACAGATAGTGTCCTTGGATTTGCGTATATGGTCTACAGCTCTTACGATTACCTACTGTAAGATTCATTATTGGAAATCTAAAGATGACTGGAAACTAGCTATCAGTTCATCAGAAGAGTGGGTTAGCAATCAAGTCGACGTTGAAGTAGAAGACCGTCTGTACGAATTGACAAAGAAATATATTTTGAATAAATTCAATATCACTACCACTAAAGAGTTGGAGCTTACTTTGCAAACAGGTAAAACAAGATTTTGAAGTTGTAGACACGTGTTTGTTGTAATATTGGCCTAACTGATTGTTTTTTGATTCTCTCAGCTGTCACCAAAACTATCATCACACGCAAACTTGTCACAACCCGAATTGTTAAAAGATTCCTTTCCTATCAGTCTGAATCTGGTTCATTTTCTCTTGACGAAAAAATAGCTACGTTCTACGGATATGAAACTACTAGAGAATTCACCGAAAGTTTGAAAAAATACTTTAGCAGCTCCACGACCAGCAAAGTTAGCATCGATGTGCAGGTCTCTGCAGTCACTATCTTATATTTGAGACTGGTAGCCGTCGATCACAGGAGCAACTGGCTTGAGCATCACGACAAGTCATATGCGTGGTTGAAGGCTCAATTCAAAGGGAACGCTCAATTGGAAAAGGAAGTTTTCGAAAGCGCCAAGTTGTTCATTGTTGAAAGATATCAAGTTGACAGCGAGGTCTTGAAGATCGACGAAAGTTTTGTCAGTACACAAAAAGAGAAAGAGAAACTTCTCAAAGAAGTTGAAGAGAACAAGAAGAAACTAGAAGATCAAGAAAAATCGAAATGTAAGCGAATTTTCTCAATTACAATCCGACATTTATAACGATACTAATATATATTGGCTCATTTCTTATAGTGATTACGAGAACTAAGGTTACCCGAGTTATTGTCCATAAATACATATCTCATATCAAAAAGGAGGATCATTTCGTCTTGGACAATGATTTTGTCGGACTACATGGTTACGAATCTATCTCTGCCGCAGAAAGCAACTTAAAAGTCTATTTCACCTCTGAGCACGTTTCCAAGCTTGACACTAAATTCTTCGCGACTGCTGTCTCTCTCTACTATCTACGCCTTGTAGCCGTAGATTATCAAGAAGACTGGATATCCGTTTATCATAGGGCTCATAAATGGTTGAGTGCACAAATTAATGACGCGAAGATCGAAGCCGAACTTCATGCATGTGCGAAGAAATATGTAATCGAAAGATATAAAGTTGCCAAAAACGCTCTCGATATTGACATACTATTTGAGGGTAAGCCGATTGAATGGTCAATATAATGGTTTTCATGTATGCCTATACTTATTAAATTTTTTTATTAGAAATCCAAGTCACCAAGTTAAAAGCAGCAAAACAGCTCGAGGCTCAGACTACTATTACCAAGAAGAACATAACAAAAGCTCACATTGAGACAACCTTCAAACATCAACATAAAACTGGGTTCTTCACGATCAACAACGAACTTGCCCTATCTCTTGGATTCACTAGTGAAGAACACCTCCGCACAGCAATCACGACGTTCGTACATAAGCATGCCAAAGGCAAAGCTTCGTATATAGACACCAATGTCTGGGTTACCGTTTTTGTTCTCCACTATTATCGCTTGGTAGCAGTTGA